TCTGGGGTCCAAAATGGCCATGTTTTTCTCTGTTGGGAACTTCCTGCCCAACTTTCTCTGCAGACTCTTCATAAATCCGTGGCTATATTCATAGGCTACCTTTCCCCCACGTCATGAATAGTGCCTGTTTTCTGAGTTAATTTTTTCATAAGGTAAAGTGGATAGAGCTAAGTTTTATTGTGCATACCAAACATTAATATATATAATTATTTTCCTTCTAAAATTTATTAATAAGATTTATTTGTAAATAGATCTAGAGTCAGAAAAAATATGCAACTTAACAAGGATAAACTTATTCATGCTTCTTCATTGCTTTCATGGTTTCTCTGTCTATTTAATTAGATACATGTTGGTAGACTTGGGGTCTCCTGACTTTTAGGTTTAATTTTTCAGAAGTTAATTTTTTTCAGAGGGTACTTGCTATTATGATATTTTTTGAAAGAGTATTGTAGTTTCCTTATAAATAAGAATTAAAAATATCACAAATTTATCTTTAAGTTCTCTGTATAGTGCCTCATGAATATATACTGTCATGCATGGGAATGCTAACCTATATGGACTCAACATTAATCCTGAATGTATATTTTATAATTATGAGTTTTTTGTAAGCTGGAAATTAGCATACATTATTTATCTCATTTATCACAAGATACTCAATGAATAAGTTTATATTCTATAAAACCAAGGTTGAGATGTTAGGCTACTTGCTAAAAGCTACACTGTTATTTAAGTTTTAATTCTAGGTCAGAGCCAGTGCCCTCTCCTTGATACTAGGGCAGTTTTAAAATAAGTGCCACTAGTTGAGCTGTTTGACTATTTGGAATGGAGTTGGTGTTTTCAGACTACTGTTCTATATTGGGATAAGGAAGTTAGCAAGTAGTATTTTCTGTTATTATACAGAGCAAATTGTAGGCATTGATGTTCTATGCATCTGCTCATCTACATATATCTACTTTTTGCCAAGAATCCTTTCCTCTTGAAGAGGTAATAGAGGGCAACTTGGTCTTTCTCAGAAAAGTGGCCTGTCTCACCTTCCAGTTGAAGAATGAGGATATGTGGTGATAGATTCCTTCTCTGAGAAGACTGACACCTGGTTAACTCAGGATTTTCTGCAAAGCAAAGGGTGGTTGTACCTCTGGAGACAGTTGTGCAGAATTGTATAGCAGAGGCTGATTATGGTTAGTGATGTGGATGTTGGCTGTGCATATCTGTACCCAGGACTTCAAAGTGTTAAATTAAGTGTTTCCAGAGAAAGATAAAATCTATGTGAAGATAAAGAAGGAATTGAGAAGGTATTTTTAAGTGGAAAGAGGAGAACATTATAGTTAGAAGGATAGTTTAAAAACCTTTGAAAAATTTAAGAGGGCACTCTCTTTTATTCAGTTTTTAATCCATGGTTTAATGTATTAGAGCAGTATAGTATTACCTATACTGCTTTGGTGTCACAGTTCTTGTCTAATTGGTATGTATATTATCTTCCCAGTTAAGGCTGTGAGCATTTGAGGGTAAGATCACAAATTCATTTATCATTTTTGCCTAGAGAATTTCATATGCAGATTCAAGTAATCTCCTTATTCTGTGGTTAAGGATCTGTAAATTAATCCAAGATTACAGTGGTCTGTGCTGAGAAGCTCTTCAGGAAATATTTTAGAAACTTGTACCATGTTATTTAAAACAGAATTTAAGCTTTTCTACTTATTATTGCAGTTAACATGGGTATGCGCATATCATTTTGAGTAAGTTCTAGAGTGCTGACTTTTTTTTTTTTTTTGCCTGTAATGGGAACTACGTGAAGTTATATCAACAAAAGTTAATGGTCAGAGGAATTACAATGGTATCAAGTGCTATTTAGAGTATTTAGTTTTAGAAGAAAATTACAGTTCTGAGAAAACATAACCCTTTCATTTTATGTCCTTTTTCCCTCAGTTCCATTTTAGTTGCTGTTTGAAATCATTTTAGAGAAGAACTTTGAAAGAAATGTTGGAAACCATAGGTAAGACTTATTCTTTTTTTTTTCTGCATTTTTAAAAGTTGAAACTCCCTCCTTTGGGATCTTTGAGTATGATATGTTCTATATAGCAGATTCTATCTGTGGTAACTTAGATTTAAAAGGTTGTTATCCACTAACATTGTGCCAGGATAATACTTTTCTGTATTTGATCAGTCTCATGTGAAGTGTTACAAAACACACATAACTTGTACATGAAGAATAAATATGACATTCTACCATTTATGGGTTTTAATAAAGCTTAGTGTATACCTAATTCTAATTCATGAACCCAGTTGTAGTTAATATTTGTTTCTGGATTACAGGAGAAAATTTATTAGTATTTTAATATTGAAATATGACCATTATTCTTGTATTTGTGGCTGAATTGCCTCTGAGCTCTTGGGTGTGTGTGTGTGTGTGCATGCGCGCGTGTGTGCACGTGTGTATTTTACTGGGGATTGAACCCAGCACTCTACCACTGATCTGTACTCTCATCCCTTTTTTAAAATAAAATTATTTTGAGACAGAGTCTTGTTAAGTTGCTCATTGTGGTGGCAAACTTGTGACCCCTCCTGCCTCAGCATGCTAAGTAGCTGGTATAACAGGCATGTGCCATACCTGGTTGAGCTCTTGCTTTTACTTGACAAAGAGAACAGTAACAATCTCTTTAGCTGGTAACTTCATTGAAGGCAATTTAATTTCCTCATGAGATAATTTAGGTTGAAATAGCTAGATTTTCCATGTTTATGTGTTAATCCCTTCTAGAGAAACTAGTTTATACATCTGTTTACAAGTATATCAGGTGTGGTACATATCTGCCATCATCAGATATAGCAGTCCTGTACGTATTCCAGGTAGCTTATCTATTATAACTTTTTGAAGGTATCTAGATTTTACTCTGGCACCTTGATGATTACGGTTGATGCTTAGACAGCTTCATGTTTTAAGGGTAGGAGGAGAGTCGATGGCAGTAAAAGAAACAGGAGCTTCTTTTATGATCATGTGACTTTTGTTCCTGGTACTATGCTGATCATAAAAATGCATGGATGTACATCTCTATCACTCATTTTATACTGAAGTAATACACCATAAAGAGAAATAGCCTACACAAAAGTGGAAAGGAAAGGAAAGGAAAGGGGAAGTACAGAATTATGTAAATCATTACTTTCTCAGCTTTGTTCTTTTAGCTATTACTACTGAGTTGGACACCTTGTAACAATTGCCATGAGAATTAATATATTCACATTCTAAGTTACCATGGGAGATGATCCAGATGAAAATTCTCGGGTACATCTTTATCATTATTTGCTTTAAAATTTCTGCTTGAGTAAATGTTATTTTATTTCATTTTTTTTGTTTATGTAAAATCATGATCTTTGTTAATTCATATTTTAATTGCCCAATTTCTGTGTAATTCTAGATTTGGAGCTGTATGAAGTATTTCTAGTAATGATTGCCATTATATGTAAAGTATCTCTAGTAATTGGTTACTGTGATATTTCAAATATATTTTAATACAGGTACTTCTTATCATCCTGAAAGTGTTAGGACATATATCTGAGTACAATCTCTATTAAAAATAAAAAACAAATTTGGCTTAAATTATAAGTAAGTGTGTATGCATGACTATAAACATATGTTTTTGGCTATTATTTGTGGTAGAAATTCACTACTGGTAGAAGTAAGTATATAAGGACTGTTAGGACATACTTAAATATTTACTTTTTAAAAAACTTTGTACCTGATTTATAAAGAATTTAATAATTATTTGAATTGGATTAGTTTGAAGCATATGTAAATATGGTATTTAATTTGGGGAGGAAGATATTTCAACTATTAAAAAGTAACCTATTTGAAATACTCTGTGTTATTCTGATGTATTTTTAAGTAAATTCTCAATTGTAGAATACTTTGCTTCTTAATATGTGAAATTATTATATTTTGGATATTGTGATTAATCATTAACATTATCCATATTTCACTTGTTAGTGAGCCAATTATGTTGCTAATTTTTTATTTGTAAATAAGCATTTTCATATCTTTTTAAAGAAGACAGATATCTGCATTTTTGAGGTCACAGATCATTTGGTTTTTATTAAAAAAAAAGTCATGATTTTTATGAAATAGTTGAAACAGCTCACATTGGAATTTAGATAGCCATCATCTGAATTGGTTTCTGTGACTAGTTGTATTCAGCACACAATATAACCAATTTCTTGCTTTCAAATAAACTTTCATATAGGAGCCTTCAAGGTTTGTGGGGCACATTTCCAGTTACATGTTACATGTTACATGTTACACCCTTTCTGTTTTATCTCCAAACCAATTCCATTGGTTTGAAGCAAATGTAAATATAAAAAAATACTGTGTAATTTGCTGTTTAATTTTGAGAGAAAATATTCAAAGTATTAAAAAGTGCTCAGTCTTGTACTTTTTGTTCTTTTGTACTTTATTAAAATTTTGTACTTTTGTAAAACTTTTACTCAAAAAAGACAATTTTGTGCACTTAAGAGGCATGGGATCCTTATATGCTTGATATGCATGTTTTGAGTCCTGTTATTTACTAATGCTACTCTTTGGAATAGATAAAAATTGGGCCCTGAAGGCAGCAGAGCGCTTGCAAGCCAAGCTACGAGAACGTGGGGATGTATCAAATGAAGACAAACTCAGCCTTCTAAAGTCAGTCCTGCAGAGCCCACTCTTCAGTCAGATTCTGAACCTTCAGACTTCTGTACAGCAGCTGAGAGACAAGGTAGGATATCATTGGGGTGTTCACAGCATGGCATAGATCTTGTGAAAGGATTGTTTTTTTTCTGAAGGCTGATTGGAAAATGTGTTAATGAATAGTTAATGAAGTCATTTAAACCTTCAAACAAGACATTCAAATTCACCATGGCTTTTTCTTCCTAGTTATTTTTACAGTGGTTGTTGCAGTATACTGTAGATGATATGACATTGTGTTGAAAGCTGTGTGGATGCTGAAGAATGAGTTTCTACAGGAAAAGGGGATGATAAAAGTATGTTTGGGGTAGATGGTTGTAGACTAGGTTTCCATCATCACTAGGGCTCATTGTTCATGTGATCTTACTCATTCAGATTCAGATTTGAGTACGCTTGTAAGATTTCAGATAAGCCTAGATTTGCATGTGTAATCATGTGTGTAAGGAAGGGAAATCACCTCTATTTTGACATTAAAAGGAATAATTACATTGTCATCAGTTAGAGGAATTGCAATTCTCACTTCTTAAAAGAGTGTAAGTAGCAATTGCTTCTATGACAGCATCAGATGGTAGAACTTCTAAATGTAACACTGTGTTTCTCCTGTAAAAATTATGAGCATTAAAAGTTGGAGCATTTATACTAAAATTGAAACATATCATAGTGACAGAGTGAAAACTAAAGTTAGATGTTCTTTGAACTTACTTAGTTTAATCACTGTCTCTCAAGTTTTTAAAATATATTTTTAAAACAGTTCATATCCTCACAAGGTTTGAAGTTAATTATGCCTTCAAGTTCTCATTCTCATGTTTTTAGAATTAATTTAATGGTTATGGATGACTTGCTAGCAAATATTCTGCCTTAAAAGATTAAAAAAGAATCTTGAAAACTAGTTTCATAATACAGTGAAAGAACAGCTCCAATAAAAAATTCCCAAATAGTGCTAGAGGTGTAGCTCAGTGGTAGGACTGTGGGTTCAATTCCCAGTACGATAAAAATATCAGAAAACAATAAACAACACTCAAAAGTGTGCTAAATGCAAAAGGTAAAACAATAGTATTAGAAAAGGAATTTGTTTAATGTCGTGTTAACTTCTTAATCTACGTTTGTATATTTGTAGCCCCTCTAAAATAAATCAAGAATAATCTTCAGACATATGTCATAATTTCTATGTAATGATTTTAAAAGTCATGATCATGAATTTTAAAAGGTGTTTTTGTTATTTGTAGTGTGTTTATCCCCTTTGTAAGTTATGGAGATACTAATTTTCAATACTAACTTTCAGAACAAATTGGTAAACTTATGGAGAAACCACTCTCTTGAATGTAAATGTAATTATGATGGGAATAATCATCTGTTTTTTCAGAGTATAGAGAGGTTGAACAGATATCTTCTATTTATTGTATTGTATGGAAATGTGATTAAAATGGGAAGGAAGTTGAAATAAATAGAGTATCAACAAGTACACCACTAGTCTAGTGAGATAAATCATTATTTTCCTGCTAGCCAGCCTTACGAATGGCAAAGAATCTTTGTCCCTCCTGTGTCTGATGAAAGAAAGGGACAAATGGACCTACTTGCTAAGCTTGATTTAATATTTTCAAATGAAAATAGGATATGGGCTCTATTACTATTTGGGTCCTACATGGTTCACATGAAAACTACTTGGAAATCTATTGAGCATAATAATAGAGGCCCAAGTTCTGTGACTAATATATGCTATGATTTTGCTATTTTATTAATAATATATTTAAGACTAAATTGTGAATTCTGAAGGCATGTCTTACATGTCTGTGGATTTTGTGTCCTTAGTCACTCTTTATGTAGAAGAGAAAGCTAACAATAAAAGGGACCACGGAAAGTATCTAGCTTGGAGAGGTTAAGTGATTTGTTTTTAAGGGTAAAGCCAGAACTAGAATTCAGTTTTCTTGGCTCCCTGGGCTTCTTTCCCCCTTTTAGGCTTTGCAGCCTATCTTATATCTTCTTTTCAATGATAGGAATTTGATCCCTAAATGTCAAGAGTTTCATTTTCATAATTCCTCAATTTTTGTGACTTTTCATTTTAATCTCCATTTTTTTTACTAATTAAATTCTGTTTACTTATCAGTATTTTATATATGATTAAAATAAAAATTTGAAACTATGTAATTTTTGTATATTAAAATAAAAATAAAAATATTCTAATTTCATCAGATTTACCAATCACTAATTTATTAATATTTATAATTTAATAACTAAATATATCTAAGGAATAAAATTTGTTTCATGCATTTCAATCAGTGGCTACCCAAATCTGACCATTGCCTAGTTTTTACTTATTACCTTATATGTAAATTATATTTTCATATGTATAATTTTTATATGCACAACAGGTGCAAGTTACAGTTTCAATTTTTTAATTTTTTTTACCATCACTGGAAAATTTGATCTCTTCAATTCTTCCCCTCTGTCATCCATTCTCCTGTCTTTTAGAGAAGCAAAGGGAGTTAAATAATTGAAAAACCTGAGGTATATGCAGCATATTGGAGAACATGATCATATTGTTGCATTAATGACAGATGCTGATATGCCACGTTGAATTAAGCCTACAGTTTTTTCCCTCAGATCCTTCTCATTACTTCTATTCAATAATGTTTATTTTTTCCAATTTGCTGCTTCAGTATTAAGACCACCCTTAGAAACCAAACTATTTCCCTTTGGCAAATTAAACACTTGACAGGTGTGTAACTGAGAGGGCAAAAAAGCCATGCCCTGAAGGGATGTGCTATTTAAATATTGTCAAAAATATTAACAGGTCTGAGAATATAATTGATGCCTCTGTTTAACTCTGCCACATTGTGTATTGTTCTATCCACCAGCTAAAAGATGTGTGCTATTAAACCTGAATAATCTCTAATAGCTCCAGTTCATTTCCTGCTGCACGATTTCTGTTTAAATGAAGAGAAAAAAAGAGAACTGTGACTGTGTGTCAATGATCTGTGAAATGCAAATTCTCAAGTAGTGTCCTCACTGTCACCTAGTCATCACAGCTAATAACTATGGGGCTTAATGCGTATTCATGACAAAAATCCGTCTATTTTGGGGAAATAAACACGTTAGCAGTTTAATAATAGAAATGTGTCAGCCTTGAGGATATTGGATTTGCATATTTATTCTATGAAGTTTCTGCAGTCCAGTATAGGTGATGCTGCTTTCCTGATTAGTTAATTTCCTTGTCTTATAAATTGATCATAGGCGCTAAAATAATCTTCTTACTTTAAGTAGTTTTTCAGAAAACTGTGAATTAAAATTATTATTTTCAGTAGAAATTTAGGATCAATACCTAGAAATCAACATTACCAGAATTATTTTTAAAAAGATGGCAGTGGAGACCAGTTCTAAGACAGGAGAAAAGATATGGATATCTCAGGTTGCAAAAGTTGCTTATATGAGAAATAAGCCTTAGGGCACAGAATATTCAAGATATCTCTCCATGTTTCTGATCTCTAGACTTTTTGGCCTGTGACATTTGATTGTTTTGTTGTTATTTAATAATTAAAGGATTCTAGCTCATTTGCTGTCCTTCCATACAGTGCTGGCTTATATACTTTTCATCTAGACATATAATATATATAGACGCAAATTAAGCCAGATTTTTTCTTTGGAAATTTATGACGTCTCCTAAAATAACTTAAACACATGGTGGGTTGTATAGAATCAACTTTGGAATTACTGTTCAATGTTGATTAGTGAGATTTTTTTTCTCATTTTTTATTCTTGAAATGTAGTCTTCGTGGTGTAACATTTTCATTGTTTATTTCTTTTTTAAATGTTTCTTTATTTTTTATATTTATTTTTTAGTTATAGGTGGACACAATATCTTTATTTTATTTTTATGTGGTGCTGAGGATCAAACCCAGTGCCTCACACGAGCGCTCTACCTTTGAGCCACAACCCCAACTAACTCTATTTCTGTATAATTCTAAGTTTTACTTGTTCACTTTCCAAAAAAAGAATGTGAAACAAAGAAATGGATGATTCAAAGATAAACCTAAATAAACTAAATAATAATATCATAGAACTAGATATACCAAAGACCTAGGGTTGCTGAAACCAAGTAAATCATTTAATTTCAGTTTCCCAGAAGCAAAGACAAATAAAAAACAACTGAAGGATTATATGTTCATTGTGAGACTTTGTTGAGTGAACCTAATCTTCTCCTGACAATAGGAGGGAGGGTTATCACATGGACACTTTGTTGAACACTTAAAATCAATGAAACCTTAATGAATAATAAGATGGAGGTTCTCACTATCTAGAGGGGAAAACAGAACATAGAAAAAGGAACAGGTGCGTGATGGAAGGAGAAGGAACTTTGACTTAAGATAGATTTTGCAAAAGGAGTAGGAATTTTCGGCAGATGTAGGGAAATTATTTCAGGTAGAGAGCAAAGTGTTTGTAAGAGTATGCAGCAGTTGTTTTCAAGTGAGTGTGATTTTTATATTTTCCTTCACCAAGAAGTATTTGGCAATGTCTGGAGTCAGTGGGATTATGTGGATTATTATGATGGGTAGAGGTTAGCGATGCTGCTAAACATCCTTCAGTGAGCAGCACAGCCTCCCACTGCAAGGAATTATGGGTTTATAAAGTGTTCGTTGAGAAATCCTGGTATAGAACTATGTACAGACATGTATTATCAAAGCAATTAGATTATATGTGGAATATTGGCAGGAATGGAAACTATAGAGCCAGATTGTGAAGGACCTATTGAGGTAAGGGTTTTTTGGGGGGTGGTGGTCATTATTTCCTTGATGGTACCCTAGGATTAAGTCCAGGGCCTTGCATTCAAGTACTCTACCACAGAACTACATTCCTAGCCATTATTTTCATTCTTTCATACCGAACTTTCTGGAAAATTATCACATTTATCTTTTACTCCTTCTATTAAGTATAATATTTTAGCAATCATTTTATGTTTTATTTGCCTACATCTTATCACTATGGTAATAAGCCTAACAAAATTATGTTAAGAATTTTAACATTTTGATAAGTAAC